TCAAATTAAATAGCAACTTTGCACACTTATCAAGGACCGATGACAAGTTTTTTTTAACTATAATTTCATTTAATTTTACACATGATACACATTATCGTCTATGAGTTTAGGAAACTTAGCTACTGCACATTATTCTATGTAAAATAAAATATCATCATAGTCATCATCTCAGTTTCATGATAACCGCTGCAACCAAAGATTTCCACGTGATCTTTTACTAACCTAGCTAATACAACCAGGTCTTCAGCCGTACCATGATTTCCACTAACTACCAGAGCGCAGGTCACTCGCAACAAAAAAATATCTAATTTACGTAGGTGAAAAAATAAAAGTACCACGCTTTTGTTATCTCTGAGTACACTACAATATAAGAAACACTTTCGTATTTGATCTGCACCAGGTAGTCAATACACACATACACACACGAAACATCAACCATTCATAAAAAGCTATTATTTCTATGTATAAATTTAGACTATAGGTATATCAATGACATAGTGTAGGCGACATGGCCTTCAGCCACAACAAACGGTATATCTTAGTGGCGCGGCGTTGACGATAAAAGAAGACTAAAAACGTAATTCTAATAAAAGTATATTTTGATCAGCTACCGGAAATTTAAGGGTTGACAGCCTTGAGTGAGATAGGCATCGGACAGAAGTGCGCAAATCGATAGCAAATCGATCCTGTATGTCTATCAGTGTGGTAAGCTTCAAACAAAATTAAATGTGTGTGTACTTTTTGTTTTGTCTAACGTATCATGTAGGAAAAAGAAAATTGACCCCATGATGGTTTGTTAGATCACATCTTCTTGTTTATATTGTCCCTTAGAATTATTTTCTTATCCTTACTACGATCTCATTATTCACTACTAATAAATATATTTTCTACGTATTTTACGTATGTAAGTTTTATTAAATCATAAATTACTCACCTTATAAATAAATAAAATGAAAAATAAATATGCAATTTTTGACTATCGAAACTTCCATATACTATGTTTAGCTTCTAGAAAGTACTAGAATTTAGTAGTTACGTTTCGTTTTCATAATATTTAATTATTTCACTCACTCTCACTTGTCTATAAAGTTAATGATGTAGATACGAACGAATTTCTCCACAAATTATTTTGAAACTGTAAGCTTTTATCCGTCTACCACCGGCATTAATTAAAAACAAAACTTATATTTAAGTACATAATATAAGGTTTGTTATGTGACCATCCTTACTTTTTATCTTACCATTAGAAGGGCCTTATTACCCAGCGTAGTTGTATTACCTTAAGGGGCGCTTGTTAGCCAGAGAGCGCTCCATTTTGCTACGTGTACCTCAAAACAGACCCTGCGAATTTTTGTGTATTAACTAAGGCCACCATTCATAAAATGATCAGACATATTATATTCATTTGAATATTCTTTTTTATAAAACATTGATCTTAAAATCAATACAAGATACCAGAACAGGTTTCCTTTCCTCGTTTATTAAATGTCTACGTCCGTCGTACCGATAAATAACCACATTAATTTGTACTAAACAAATATTTAAATACTCCGAATAATGTGCTAATACGAGTAGTCGGCTAATATTTTGAATGTGCAACTAGTAGCCAATGACATTAAACTCACGTTTTGCTGACAGAAAAAAAATCTTTTAATTTTCTATTTTTAGTCCCATTTTTAACTAATGCAGAATTCGAACTGCACTGTGAAAACGTGCGTTCTACACTCGAGAAACTCGAATAACCAAATGCGCATTCGCCGCACGGCAAACGCCCGCATCTGAACGTTGTCCTTTTGTATTTTATAATTTTTAAACGATTTCTTTTATTTCTCTAACTTGCTTGCTATTACATTCCGGTCTGGTTCAAAAACATCCATATAAAGATAGTACCATACATATACTTATAGAACCACAGGTCAATTTTTGAGAAAAGGACCGGGTACACCTACACAAGATAAGCCTCTTATGTTTAGCTTGTTCAATTTTAAGTGTACCTCTTCATATCATGGATGAAATAAATGGATCGAATGAAAATAGAAAAGGTTTTCTTAAAGGTATTTTCTAATTAACAGATTTGGTGTGCCTACAAACTAATTATAATAATCATGATTGCCTCGGTGGTGCAGTGGTAGCATATGCGACTGCTGTACTGAGGTCTCGGGTCTCATGAAATGACATTTATTTCTGCAAGTAAATCTTTACAGATATTTTTACAAGTCGGAAGTATTTGTTTCAGAGTTTGAGTGTTTTCTATGTATAATATGTATGTATATACAAAAAAAATATATAAGTATTGTATCAGTCAATCTAATGTTCATAGTACAAGCTCTGCTTAGTTTGAAACTATTTGGTGTTGTGTGTCAGATGTCCGAAAATATAATGTTAATGTTTAAAAGCTCATACAAAACGTCCAAAGTTATCGCTGACAAAAATAAGCTTTACTCGTATAAAACCAAGGCTCATTTTAAGCACACGTCGTCAAGCTCGAGAGGTTCGTTGCTAAATTTATTAATGCAGTTATTTAGCAAGTAATAGTTAAGGAATACATTTTCCATTCGTATAGAAGTAAGAACTACTCAAGAAAGGATATAAAACTAAGTATGTATGACATCGGTCTCAGAGTAAATACTCTAAGTTTGCAACATCTACAAACAAAGTTTGATGCCACTGCAAACTACTTATTTGTATTCCACACTTGCACACTTTTAATACAAGCCGTATATGAAATAGATCAAGAATATGTGTATTTCCTTGTATCGCGGCAACTTTCATCCAAGTTTTCATTCCAATGCGGGCCGAATTTCCCCAAACAGTAGCTTCCACTTTACATACATATACGCGAAGAACTAATAATATTAGAAAATGGGAGATTTGCAAGCGAATAGAAAAGTGAGTTCTATTACAATCTTGATAATAACTAGTGTTTCAGAACACAATTCTCTCAAAAAGTTTTTTTCATTAACAATAGATGTTTTATGCGAATGCGATATTCATTCGTATTCATTACAATTGTTACAGAATAATTTGAACATTATCTTCCCGGCAGGTTCCTGAATGATTAAATTGCACCAATTTTTAGTCTTTTCTTTAATAAAAAGATGAATAACAACGAAAAGGCGTCGGTACGCATTTAAAGAAAAAATTTAAGCTACGATGGACAACTACAGGCGTAGAGCGAATAAGGTAGGGAATTTACGCTTATATACAAAATATCTTAATTCCTCTTTTCTGTTATATTTTCTTCTCTTTTCAAACCTCTTTTCAATATAATATGATAAATAAGGGTTAAAATAAAATAATAAAGGATAACAAAAATTTAATGAACTTATATTTGGCGTACCCGGGTGACGTTACCTGGCATTGACGTATTCAGCTAGACAATATACAGACGCTATAATTGTCTTTTAATACTTAGTTTCTTTGCACAAAAAAAGTACTCTTATACTCTTATAGTGCAGTAAGAGACACTATGTAACTTCATCAAAAATTATGGTAAAATACTTTTAATCCAAAAGTGAATTATGTACTTTGAATCATACTACCAATATTTATCTCTAAACCTATATCAAAATCACTATCACGATTAGGAGGGAAATACGGTACAATCCTTTTAGTATGATAGATATATACATTCAAAGGAAAAATAATTAATTAAAACTTGTTTAAAATATTTTCTAAAATCGATTAAAAATAAACAAGGATATATTGAATTTTTTTTCAAGGATAAAACTTTAAACAAGTTGCTAGAAATACCTTAGTTCGTTTTATAGCATTTGTGCGCACAACCGTCTGACAGATTTTGATTTATCATTTTAATTTGGTGAGCGGTGACGACGGGCCGAGGTGTGCCCCGGGATCCCGCAGGATTCGCTCCCGCCCATACGCCTCGGTTTAAATTCAAATCTGTTGTATTAAATAATTATTGGGGAGATATATGAAATAAAATTAACAAATAAATATTATTTGTTCTATTAAATTTGTATCTGTTAAATACTTTTTACAGAACTTTTATAAAAATTAATGTTAACTTTTAGAAATAAATTGCTTTCTGTAACAAATAAGTGATTGGTATAATACCACATAGAGACCTTAGTGTTATCTTTTTGACCCACACTTGATAGTGACTCGCTCCGGTGACTGTGCCAGATCAGAGTGCGATGACGTCACGCATCCCCTACCCCTGCCCCTCGTAGACACCACCGTCGCCGCCACCCGCCTTCATTTGTTTTCTGGTGTCACTTCTTATCTCGTCTCGCAATTATTACAATTTGTCCGCTCCTCCCCTTATCTTAGCGAGTTTGCTACTTCAGCATAAAGGCAACCGACTTCAGCAGATTCGCAAGATCATATTGAGGAGAAATCCCTTTTTTCTAATTTCGCAGCTGAAATTTTTTCAAAACTCTGAATAATGACACTGCCGTAAATTGCAGAGGTGGCCACGAAATGCCGCAGACAGGCGAGTTAGTTGTTTGTTGTTTTTCTAACTTCACTTTTTCATAGCTCGGCTGACGGTCCTTGTTTTGATTGGGCTATTTCACTCTACGGAGTTTTTTATAATCCCTGCTCCCCCATTCAACTTAGAGGGCATATTCTTTCAATTAGCCATAAAGAATATTGAGTATTTTCTTAAAAAAAATTGCAATGTCTTCAAATCTTGAAAAATTTAAAACAGGTAATAGTGGTTGTAACTAGGGCTGATTGTTTTATTTAAAAAAAACTATCAATGTTATGGTTCCAGGTAAATTTTACAGCGATTGTTTCGGTTTAAGTTTCGCAGAAAGCAAATGGGAGCAGGTCATTGAAGAATCGCTCAACTAATTTTGTACAGGTATACATGAATTAGTCGTTTTTATCGGCAGTCGTTAGTGCTCCCGATTATCGCTGAAACTTCTTCTTATTTTTATCGTTGCTTCGCGAAGGGGAGAGTGTGCACTCGTTGTCGCGACAAAATGTTCAATTTTAGATACAAATAAAAAAGGTCGGACGCGTCGTGCAGAATATTAACGGCGCACAATATGAACGTAGGCATCCGGAATTCCCGTCAAAAGTGCCAAAACGATGTTATTCTTTTCCGCGCGGAGGTAATAAGCGAGGCGGTCCCAGCCGTGCCGCGGATATGAAATCCAGAAATGTTTATGGCACGCGATAATGGGACGGCTTCGTATCCGATCCGGGTTTACGGATGAAAGGATCCTCTCGTAATTAGAATCCTTAAGACCTTTTGTAATAGCGTAATTGTTTCCCGTTGTCGCCTTGGCGCAAGCCGTTATCTCCATGAATGGAACGACTCTACTACAAAGACAAGAATGCAAGCATAACGCGAAGCGCTCCACTTTCGCTTGCAAATTTTTAGAATGTATTGCAGTAAGTACAGTTAGAGTAAAATTTTGAGTAGCGCGATGCGGCCGAAAGACACACGTCCCTTCGCAGAGTGATTGCGCGCTGCCAGTAGCATTGTCAAACACACGTGCCTGCGCCGACCTATGACTCGCGTCGCACGCCAACATCGTCACTTGTAATTACTAGCGTAATTCAACAATGTATCACTATGCGTCACCGGCTCCCGATAGGAAAAATAGATCACAGTCACCGCTCAGGCATCACATTAATCGAAATGTTAAATTATGCAGATTTATCACAAATAGCTATTAACATTAATTTATTTTACTTGTAAATAACTCAACGATCAAACGGCACTCTAATTGAAAATTACACAGTGCGAAATGCAATAGTATATTAATGAATGTACGTACTACAGATGTTGGTGCTTAAGTACCTACGATATACTGTAATATGTACATTACAGACGCATGGACCAGTACACCGCAATAATCCTGAAGCCGTGTTAACATGCTTAAAGCAGATTTGCCCATGAATTGTTCAGCTCGCCAATTAGATTGAGGTATTGCTTGCTGGAAGTTCTAATTGTTTCAGTTAGACATTACTCGTGCGTCATTTGCGTTATAGGTACTGCGTTTACGTCCGTCGTGTTCTTCGGGGAGTAATACCCGAAATGATCCGACGAATTCCTCCATAATGTTGGAGGTTCTTGGACGAAGTCTCTTATTACAGTCCCAGTAGCCGTGTATTGCGTCCTTACACCCGCTCAATACATGAGTTCGGTGTGGTCCTTCAATAGCCACCTGTAATAATATTTGCATACAAAGACGATCCTGCCAGTGCTTTGCGCTTTGTACGCAAAATTTGTAAATTTTCTACGGACTGTTAGAACTTGAATATAACCCGGCTTTGTCCCTGTGAATTGATATACAAAAAATACCTTCTATCAAGCAAAATATTAACAGTGTAATTGTTGTGTCGGAGAAGCCTATTTCCTTTTAAGGGACACGTGTTCAAATTCATTTAATTGTTGAGAAGCAGAGTATTTCGAGTACTTAGAGATTAATCGCAACAACTTTCGCTGTCCAAAACATGCAGGCTAGTTAAGTAGGTGTATGAGGGAGAAAGCTGCACTTCACGGGAGCGGAACAGAATGGATTAAATTGCAAGTACGTTGATGTATTTATAGCTGAGCCAGAGACAAACGAGCGTGCGCGTGATGGACCTGCCTCGTTATGGGAATTAATCGAAGTTGCAGCGAGCGGCACACCTGCACACTAACTGAAATATGCTTTCAAGCACAACACTGTTTTATCTGAATCTTGTTGGACTCACTTAACGATATATTCACAACCAAGTGGACAATTAATTCATATGCAATATTATACACACTATTAATGCAATAAATATTGCGAGACGAATGTAAGTAAAAGGTGGATTTCATAGATTGTGTAAAACAGCACTGACATCTTATGTCAGAGATTTTATTAAGCTATATTATTTATAGTTTTGTTGCAAAAATGCAATGCACGCTATAAAAATAAACTTTTTATACTCGTAACGGTCCAGTCGTGAATAATGAACACTTGGATAATTGTAAAGATTATTGATACAGACTAAACAAAATGATAAAACTGGAAATGAAATCAATCGTTTAAAAAAATCAAAATTGAATGTGTGTCATGTGTATTTTTTTATATTATATTAACTTAAATAGTCCTAAAAAGAAGAATGTGTGTCATGTGTATGTTTTTATATTGTATTTACTTAAATAGTCCTAAAAAGAAGTTGTACTTACGAGGAAACCAAAATAATATCGTCTTAAAATAATGTTTCCACTACTGTTGAACCAGACACCTTTCAGTGCTTGCTGACTTTTAAAGTATTCTTTACAATCTTCAGGTTTTATTATTATTTTCTATTTTAACATTTGTTTAAACTACAAGAATTTCTAAAATATTCTTCATATTTCATATCAAGCCGAGTTTGCTTGAAAAATCTTAAAAGTACACATCATGTTACGTTTTTTTGAAGTCTTACAAGAACAAAAAGCTTTGCCTCCTATCTTTAAAAACATCGGCGTCAATGGCCTATACAAATTAAATAAAACCTCATTCGACTAACAAAGATTTGTTCAGTCTTTTTACGAAACTTTGACATTAATTTCCATTTTCGAAGTAAAACCAATTTAAAAAAGACGAATACATAAACAGAGATTTGCATTACAATCCCGTCGTCTAATTTTTATTTCACCTCAATGAGCATTTACAAATAGGTGATGAATAAATTCTAAGTAACATCATAGACATATACAAGGGAAATTCGAATTCTGAATATTTTATTATTTGCACCTATTTATTTTATGCTTTTAGTAACACACGAACAATACATTTTTAGATTAGAGTGATACTTTTAGGGATAAACTTGTATATTCATTGAACCCCTCGCAGCTTTTTTTTTTTGGAAACAAACCTCTGCGGAACTTCACATGACACGGGCCGACGACACAAAACAACATTTCGGTCCTCGTACATGACGGTACGCTCCTCTAAATACTCTGCCACAAGCCGCCTCAGGTAATATGGCACCCCGTGATAGCGGAGTGCTTCACCTTGGTCACGGTCCTGACGCGCAACACAGCGTCGATCGTCGAACGCCCCGTTCGAAAACCGAATTGGGCGTCCGACAGATCGGGGCTCACCTCGTAAAGATGCCGGACGATGCGGGCAGAGAAGACCCTCTTAAACAATTTACCCGACTCGTCCAGCAACACGATGGGCCTGTAGGCCTGTACGGATCAGTAGAGACCCTCCAGTATCTCCTTTCTTTTGTCTTCTTTGACACGGCTAATGGTCAGCTTCAAAGATTTCCGCGACTCTCTGTACTAATCATGAAGCCGGTCCTCCTCCCCGTCTCCACGGTGATGCCGCTGACTGCGGGTGTAGGACCTCTGGGTACGCCGGCCGCATGGAGGTCCGCCAGTCTTGAGACCACCAGTAGACCTCCTTCCTTGGAGCCTGTCCAGAGGTCCTGGGTTCAGAAGAGCTCAAATCGGATATACAGGTGATCTAAAAGCATCTCAACCTCTTCCAGAACTCACCAGTTCCTTACTCATGCAGCGAGGGTAGGGGTAGCGAAGGAGGATAGAAGGCAGGATCTCTGCCTGCAAACCGTGGCGCAGTGGTCAACCGTAGTTGCGGAGGCCCTATTATGTTCCTCTTACAATACGCGTAAAATAGGCGTTTAATAACCCGAAATGTTTAATAACCCTTACATGATGAGTTTATTTATCTTAGTGATCCTTCAAACATCTGTAAAAAAGACCATTATCTAAAAAATAACTCATTAATGTTTATGGCTAGGTTATAAAAGCTTATTTATAAGTTATATTTTACAATCTGATTTCATCGAGTATTTTTAAAATTCTATCCCATTTGCAATATTAACAAATGTTGATCCTAAAATAACGAAATTTTGTTGATTTTTCTGGTAGTTTTCCATCGTTTATCTCCGGCAGCGGTAGCAAAGCGAACAACGAGAAAATTCGAGTCAACTGTTAAGCAACAAAGACCGCTTTGATTCGCGAACAATACAGCGAGCAGTCGACGGCTGGTATTGTATCGCGTTCGTTACATAGAATATTTATGGCGTCTACAAACAAAACTTGAAGAAGCTAAGTGGTCTAAGTTTGCGCTAATTTAAGAGTTGTGCTCTAGGCAGCCGGAGCGAGCTCACCGCGGCGCGGCGCCTCGGAGACTGCCACACTTTGTCATAAGTTAGTCGGTTACGACACGGAGCCGCTCACAGACACATACTGCTTCATTTAACACAGCTTTTGTTCTTACTCACGGAAGCTAATCAAAATGTACGTGTATACGGGGTCCTTTCCACATAATGAAAGTGCTGCCACTTCTCTATATTGTTTTGGGGTAATAAAAGTCCTACATTCGTATTGGTAGCTTTGAGCCAATTTGCGGCGAGATATCGTTCTTAATTTGTTTTTAAATAGAATATATTTATTAAAAAATATATTTAGATAGTTTTCAATTATAGTCAATACCACCTAGGACCGGCGACTTCGTTCGCGTGGAATTTGAAACTCGCTGCCTTAGTAGTGCAGTACAGTACAGGACTGCAGTCAATGAGGCCTCGGGTTCGAGGAAAAATACCCTAATTTACTCTTTATATAGACAGCTACCAGGTAGTAAAATATTATCAAAATCGGTCCAACCGTTTTGAAGATTACCTGGAACACAGAACAGACAGATAGACAGACAGACAAAAAATATTTAAACTGGTTTTTAGGCATAGGTAATGTGTCAAAATGTACATTTATTTCTGTATCACTCTTGTTTGATATTTTTTTCTTTTAAAAAAAAGACAACTCTCACAATAGGAATAGATATCCTGTGTCGCGGGGGACTTTACAAACATATATGAAACGGACACAAAGAACGACACAAAGACTCAGAAAACAATTTGTGGATCACACAAAGTGTCGTCCTATGTGGGGATCGGACCCACAACACCCAGCGTAGTAGTGAGCGGCGTGGCGATCGCTTAAGCCACTACTCCAGACCTTAAACGGGGCATTGTAAATATGCATAAATTTAATACTCGTAAACAACATTTTAGTCGCCTTCTCGCGTAAGGTAGCGTTTACTACTAATGGGCAAACAATGCAGTACTCATGCATTGGTAACGCTCTTGGGAATATCATGTAATGGTAAAAGATGTCTCAGTAAAAAGAACAAGATAAGTGGCCGCGACCGCTGTTAGACCACAAAGGCTTTTAAAATAAAAGATAATAACATTACAACAGTGGAAAACGAAAATCTGATATTTTCATTGATATGTGTTGATTTAAGTAACTATATATATATCGAAACAGAATTTGGGTTCGATTTAAAAAGTAATGTAAAACCGTTGACCTTTATCAAGGTCAAGGCTCTACAGTCTTTATTTAAGCTAAGAAGGTAATAACGATTAAATGAAACATAAAACAGTTAAGGAGTTGACTTGTTTTTAATAGTTATTTCAATAATGTTTGGGGGGTAGGTGAAATTACGTCTGTTCGCTAAGGAATTACCATTATGAGAAGAACAGACAAGAAACTCATAAGGTTTTCTTTTTCAACAGTCAAACATTATTACAATTTCATTTACTT